CGGCCAGGCATTGTGCCAGATGCTAGGGATAAAAAAGAAGAATCCTAAATTAAAGGAATTCATAATCCACTAGATAATACTATCCTACACGTGAATATTTTCAAGTAGGATAACTATGTGTATAATAGAAGTATGTTATAGGTAGAAGAGTGTTAACAAATGAAGCAATGATCAACACTGCCATGAATCAGTGGAGGAAAGACCCTGCGTTCCAAGTTATCTCCCCGACCTAATCTCCTAAATGCCGTACCTAGCAAATAAATAAAAACTAACTCTACAGCCTGAAGGTTAGGTGGTGATATCCACATCTTTCAGATTAGGCATTTGAAGCTCACAAAGGTTAAATAATCTGCCCAAGATCACAAAGATAGAAAGGACATAACCAGTACTGGCACCCAAGTCTTTTACCTTCAAATGAGACATTCAAACAGTGTCATTCTACTTTACAGCTCACTAATAGAAAGAAGAGCAGGCACTAGTCACTCTAGGCCACTAGAATGACTTTTTAGATCAGACATAACCACAAAGCTATTACCAACAGCTTCCGCACACTCAAGACAAAGCAGGTAAGTCCGACTAGTGAACCAGTTCCTTTTTATTTCTGGCCAATCCGGTTTAATGAAATAAGAATCACCAAGAAAAGAAAAAAATCCAGAAAGCCTCAGAGAAAACAGACTTATTTCAGTCTAGAAAACCACCTCTTTTTGACAATTACCTGAACCTATCAATAAAATAAGTTATATTAGATTTAAATAAAGAACTGCATTTAAAAAAATCCAGGACGCTAGCCAAATTAAATTTTACTTAAATAAAAATCAGGAGACTAGCCAGGCATCAGCATTCTGGTCTATATATTGCAAATAACAACAAGCCCACTATGTAGAGAGTAACCTAGCTGACTAGGTAGAGAAGGTAAAGGACAATTGTTAGGGGTTTGTGCCTCCAAGAAGTCCGTAACATAGCTGTTGAAACGATGCACAGGCACTAAAATAAAATACACAAATGTAAAGCGAACATTACACGTCAAGAACTACAAGCACCATGATTACACAAAAATCTGCAAATCATATTTACTGTGTAATATCCACCACATTCTTATACACTCACTCTGCCACCCTATCTGTTGAGCTCCCTTCAGGCTTGGCCCTATTAACTGCGGCTTGGCCTATGGAAAAAGAGGCACAGAATAATCCACTGGCTTAATACTAAACCTTGCAGTTGACAATTTATATCCATCCAGGCACTGCGATGCCACATTAGTCAGGGGAGATATGAGGAGGCCATGATCACTGAACCAAACCACAGGAAGCATCCTGGACAATTTGATGAGGTCAAGAAACCTTCCAAGCAGGAAGACTGGTTGCATATTCAGCAAGGCCAGGCTAACATTTATAGGTCTGGAGTGGGAAGGAAAACAGGGATTACTTTTCAATCAGGTTTGAGTGCTCCTTCATACATACCACAGTCATATGAGATCATCTTTGCCCTCAGGAAGCCTATAATCTAGTTGAAGAAACAAATGTAACATGTCAACAAACTCAGCAAATATAATCCAAAAACACAGGATAGATGACCAAGAAATAAAAGGAAAAGATCCTGGGGTGAAAGTTTTACTTTCGGAGGTAATTTGAGGGGAGGAGTTCAAGTGAACCTAAGGTGACTTAAACGAGGCAAAACTGCATGTCAGACTGGCAGCAGCAAGGAACAACTTGACTGAAGATGGAAAGCAAACAAGAAGCTTGCTGTTTCAACTTGGCTCCATCAAACTACCTCAGCGACAAGGGGAAAATAAACGGGCAATCTGCATCACATTTATTTAAAAAGATCCCTTCCTACAACTCCCTTACAGGAAAAGGTTTGTGCTCTTTAAGAAAGGTCTGGCTCTTTAAGAAAAGCCACCTAGATCCTGCAAAGAAAAGAGATAAATAATCAAAGAGTTTTTCCTTAATTGTAATCTTTACAGACATTAGTAAGTCAATTTCATAAAAACCACAAACCAGAATAGGTACAATTTTTTGCAAAAATGAAAATTAAAGAAACCTTCAGTTTCTCTAAAGGAGATTAACACGTTTATTCACTAGAATGTGTGGTAAAGAAGTATCTAGCATGCTGATGCAAAAAAACTAATTTATCAGATAAAAACTGGGTCTAAGTTCCTCTACCAATTCAGCAGCAGTTTCAAATTACAAAATGTTATAACCCTATCTTCAACCTACCTTACATCAATAATGTCCCCCTAAACACACACCACTTCCAAGAAACTTTTTTTTAATAACCTCAAAATAATTTTCTAAAACTAATGAAGTTCTTCACTGTCATTATCTCCACCGGATCTCAACCACCCAGTGAGTCGAGGCAGGGATTAGCCCATTCACATTCTACAGATAAAATAAATGGAAATCAGTTTAGTTAAGTGACTAGTTCAAGGTCACACAGCTACTGGCAGTGTTCGAATCCCCAGGCCAGTGTTGTCTTCTTTGCTAGGATGATGTCCTAAAACAGGATCATAAAACCTTATTTAAATAACATAGATACAGTAATCCTAAGAGTTAGAATGGAAAAATAAACATTACTCCACATTTACTTTGCTAGACGAAAGCAACGATTTTTACTCTGGCCTAGCAACCTGGTTCTTTTTTTTAACATAAGTAGTTTAGCACCTTCTGGAACTCTAAATACCAAAAAGTGTCCTAAGACTTTTAGAAAGTAAATGAAAAACTAAAACAAAACAAAACCAAAACCTGTTCACAGACACAAACTAAACAGTACACTTCAGCTAAACAGTCTTAAAAACCACTCAAACCCCCGGAAAAACTGGGGACAGGATGGAAACAATGACATTCTCAATTGCAACTCTTCGATTCTTATGGATATCGACACATTCAGAAAAAGCCCACCAACCTCAACCATGTTGATGTGCCCTCTTAAGCTTAAAGGAAATGGAATTTTAAAAACCCAAACAATCTCACAAAAATGATACAGAAGTCACACTAATTCAGTATTTCTGGGGCTAAACATGGAGAAGAGAGTGTCAAAAGAATGAATTAGGAATTGTGTTTAAAACTCACAATACTGACTTCCTTGCAGGCTGTAAATACAAAAATAAGCCTCCATAAATCCCTCCACAATTTATTGTGTCCAAACCACTGGTAATAATCCCACTAGTCAACACAGCTTCCCTCCCCCTTGGGTGTAAATGCGACACACACAGGCCTCACATATAGGCCTCTTGCCTTTTTCTCCAACACAACTAGGACCTTTGTTCCTAGCGTCGGTTTTTCACTCTACTCAATAGCTCTTTCAACTTTCTAGCCTGTATTTTTGTCTTATTTTGTTTTTTGAGAGGAGATTCTGAGCCTCAACTTTCGAGGTCTTTAAAAAAATGAAATGCCAAAAATATCTAAAGAGACTCTCGGGAGAAAAAGAAAGTTAAACACATCACTGCAGGGCCTACAAAGCAGAGTCCAGCCTGGGGATCGGGTGATTTGGCAGCCCAGGCAAGACCGGAGAAGGCTGACTAAGAAAGGGAGACGGCAGGGGAGCAATGGAATGTCCACGCAGGACAGGTTCACCGCGCTATGAACCGTGCGTGTACGTACACACACAGCAACACACTCCACCCACCCCCAAATAAATACTGGAGCAATCAAACTATACCCACCTCCGGACGTGATGCTTAATCTAAACCAACCGCAAACAAAGTCAATGGGCATTATCAAAAACAAAACAAAAAACCTGTCCTAAAAGTTCAGCTGTCCCCTCTGTTCTCTTCTCACAAGAGTAACCAATTCCTTCCTGTTCCCCATCAGTAGTTCAAATATATGGGTTCTTTAGCCCCGATTTGCAGGTGTTTCTGAATTGTTTAATTTCTCCGCTAGCAAATTAAGGTTTTCTCTTAGTCCAAGGAAGGGACACGGAGGAGTACAAGATTTGGAATTCTAAAACATTTCGTTATTTGAACTCGCCTCGAACTTGTTTCTGCACTAGAAGGAGGAAAGAGGGGTGAGCTGGCCTGACAAACGTTATAATAGGTTTTATGTAACCCACATATAAAGAAATGAAATGCCTGACTCTCTTTGATTTGAATGTAAACACGATTGGGGTGACAATTGGTCCACCTATCTCCTTCAAGTTCTGGACACCCCCCCCCCAGTTTCCCTTCTGATCCATTGAGAAGGATGCTCTGCTCCTCTCAGCCAAGTTTCTCGGCCTCTCCCGTGCCCCTTCACAGCCTTCTCGTCATCTTCCCTCAGCCTCAACTTCCCACAGCTGAACAAACTACCTCGCGCAGCCCCCGGCTCCGGGCTAGCCCGCCCTCAACCGTCCCCCTCGGCAGGCGACCCCTTACTGCGGACTCAAGTCACTCCGGCCTCAACCTCCTCTGACCCTGGCTTCCCACAACTGTTGTCACTCGAGCTGCTCCCTAGTTTCCATTTCCGGGCCGTCCCCTGCCCTGGAGCCTCCCCTTTCCCGGTTTCCGGGCCCCCTGTCCCATTTCCGGGGAACCCTGGCCGTCTTCACGCCCCCCACCTGCACTTCCGGCCCCCCACTTTCTCTCTTCCTAGACGCCCTCCAAGCTCCCAAGCCCACTTCCGGCCCCCCCGACCCCCGCCAGGCTCCCCAAGACCCGCACACGCCCTACCCCGGTTCCGTGAAGGGCCGTTCTCATTGCGGGGGGTCGGAGGGGGCACCCAGCGACCCCCCGCTCCAGCCGGCCCGGGTCCCTCCGGCCGCTCTCTGCCTCGAGCGCCTCGCCCGTCAACCCCCGGCCCGGTCCTTCCGCGGCCCCGCCGCCGCCGGGAGCAGGCCGAGCGGGGGCCGAATCGCGGCGATGACACAACCGGGCTTC